TCATACAGCACTCTGCTAGATCTATAAAAAGACTAATCAGTGCTTTATCACATTCATACACCAATGGGACACACACATTGGAGGCAATGAGGGGTTCAGTGTCTTTCCCAGGGACACCTTGGCATGTGGCTGCTGGTGGAATCGAACCCCCAGCTCTTGCATTGGAGGATGACTGCTCTAACCACTCAGCCACAGCCGCCCATATATGTAAAATGAAAGAAGAGGAACGAAAACAAAAGTTTACTGTAAAAATGTCCAGAAAACTGAATTGAAACAGAACCAAGCAGCACAGAGCGAAGCAGCCTAAAGGGGTTTGTTCTAATTAACCTCGACCGGACCTGAAAGCCCACAGAGAAAAGTCAAAGCCTGAATCTGCAAAACAAACATTTGCACACTCATTCTTAAATCAGACAGAACGACTGTGGGGGTGCCAGGTCTTAAATGTTTCACATTCTGGGTGGGAATGTGCAGAAACACTCAATAGGTGAGATTTTTAGATTTAATTACAACAACTTAATGAGACGAAACAATTCCACCGTGTGTCTGAGAACTGCAGGAGTCAGCTCATTTAAAGTCTGTTTGTTCTGCCTCTGTTCTGCCAGAGGAAGCAAGTGACAAAACACAAACAAGAGGAAACAAGCAAAAAGTCCCAAACTTGTACATTTATGTTGTGCCAGAACTAATTAAAATAAAACCACTTAGTATTTTATGAAATAATTTGTTGCTTTCACTCAACAGCCCGTGATGTCACCAGGTTTTTCCTTTATAGCTCTAACCAGACACCCAGAGGTGTTCAGTTTGAGACAAAGAAAAATGTGAAAATTTAGCCTTGTTTTTGTTTTTGTTTAGAAAACAAAAGTTTGGTTCTTACTGCATTTGCTGATGTCACAGTTCTCCCTCTCTACCTCAGGATCTGTGGTGTAACACCAGGGCACCGGAGAGGCGTCGGGGTTACGGCAGTAGTTATCATCTAAACTCTTATCAGGATACCTGAAAAAACACAGCTTATGCATTTTTTATGTTTATGATGGTAAAATAAGCAGTTTGGACTCAACACCACACTGATCCACTCCATATAAACATCAGTTTGGTGCATTAGGAACAGCAAAGGTAATGCAAGAACGAATGATGTACTTTTCAGGTTGGTAGATGTGCTGGTGAGGCTGCTGCTGGTCCCATCGCTGACACTCTCTACCGCTGGCAGTGTGATCAACCTGTCCTCTGTAGTCCTCTCCGTTACACGTGATGCACACGTCTGCAAGCAAATAACACAAGGTGACCCATGGTGGAGGTGAGCAGACAAAGAAAGCAATGCTCTGTAATTTCTTGGAAACTTTCCTCAAATGAAGCTGTCACCGTGACTCTAATTATGGAGGAGATAAAGCTGTTTTCAAAAAGGCAAATATTAAATTGTAAGTGCACAGCAGGTGGCAGGCCCATGTGTGGAGTTTCAATCAAACCAGCAAGACAAATGAGATTTCCAACTAAAAAAGTTTTTGCTGCATATTTCTCCTGCCAAAGCATTTAAAACTATATAAATACAAATTATATGTGTGAATATTAAAATACAGCTTTACAGATCCATCTTCTCAGTCAACAAGGACTCCACATGATGATAATTCTGACTTTTATGAAAATGAATGGAAAATGTCAGGATCCTGTGAACGATCTACCGTCTTTGCATTGGGGGATGTTGCAGCTCTCGTAGCGTCGCTCGTGGTCGACGGTGTAGCACCACGGACCGATTCGATCCCCGTCCGGGTTCCTGCAGTAGTTCAGCTCCAAACCGTTGTTTGCTGAAGGAGTCCACCTGAGATGAAGCAGAAGGTGTGTAGTTGAGTGGACTGTCACCTTTCACTTTACAACAACTTGAGTTTGTTTTATTACAGTTATGACATCAGCAGAGAGGCTTTGGACATATTTTTAATGAGAGGCACAGAAAAGACTGTTTTACCAAGCACTGATTTTTTCTTTGTTTATTTAAGTTAAAACTGCATAACGCTGTTCTCAAGAAAGCTGTTTTGTAATGCAAACAAAAAGAGAAAATAATGATTTTCAACTTTTTTAAATCAAAGTCTTTTGATTAATTTTTAATTTTGAACATATAAAATACAATATGAACATAAGACAACAACAACAAAAAAAAAAACTTCAAACCTTCCACCGGATCAGTCACACATACATAAATGAATAAAAATGAATTACACAGGCACTGACAAGTTTTCCACATACAACATAAAAGGCTGCCACGTGCCCAAAATCTTTTAACAGAACCCTTCAGGGTATGTCTTATTTTTTTTCCAGATGGATATGATACTTCACTTCTCCTATCTAATGTACATATGTTGGGGGTGTAGGTCCTTCCAATTGTACAGAACCAGTCTTATGGCCAGGAGAGAGCCAAAAGTAATCACATCCTTCTCGTACTTGCTGAAGGACGTATCCACAGGGACCACCCCAAACAGTGAGATGAATGGTGATGGATGCAGTTTTTCCACATATCCCAGAGAAGGTGTCAAAAATAGATTGCCAAAAGGACTGCAGTTTGGGACAGGTCCAGAATGTATGCAGGAGTGTAACTGGAGTTTGTTTACAACGATTGCATGCGGGGTCCAGGTTGGCTTTGATCTTGGCCAGCTTGTCTTTGGACCAATGCAACCGGTGCACTACCTTGAACTGAACCACAGCATGTTTCAGACAGACTGAGGATGAGTAAATGTTCTTATTGATCTTTCTCCAGATTGAGTCTGATATGGATTCCTCACCCGCTTTGGTCCAAGTCCATTTCCCATTTCAGTTTAAGGAAGTCCAAACTGGTCTCATAGTATGAAATGAGCAGTGTATAAATCTTGCTAAGGGCCTCCTTGTTATCAGACCTGCATGATTTTCAACTTTTCACACCAATTATATAAGCATAAGGAGGGCCGTGTGTCTGAATAATTTAATAAAACAACATCAAAATTCATCTGTGTCTCACCTGTGGTCGTGAGGAAACTTCGACCACCACTGTTGGCAGAGGAGTCCACTCTTTGTGGTGAAGACTTTCCCTCGGTAATCTTCCCCTTTACCCACAATGCACTTCCTTACATACACTGGAAAAAGAAACATAATCAAACTGAGCAGAGCCGATGTGTAACACAGCTCTCTGAGGTGATTTGAGCTCACGAGTCTCACCTTTCTTCTCGTAAAGGTCACAGTTGACGTTTCTCTTCACCTCTGCGTTGTTCACGTCGGCCACCCAGGGCAGGTGCTTACAGGTGACCGTCGGGCGAGTCTCATAGTTGAAAGCTCTGCAGTTGAAGAATGGATTTCATAATTATACAAAGTCATGCTTCAAAGCAAAGAAAACCACTTCACTTTGTTGTAAACGAACAACTCTCTCCTGAATAGTCTTCTCAAGGTAACATGAACACAAAAAAAGCCTTTAGATCCCCTTATTTCAAAGTGTTATAAAAAAAATTTAAGTATGAAAATTCAAAGCTGTGTTCCATTAATGTCAGCATAGATTCAAATCCAAGGGATTCCAATTAAACAGAAGTGTTGTTCCAGAGCTAAAGCTCCCATTTCACATCTTGAAGTTCACCTGCTGGAAACTTAAAAGTGGTCAGGTGTCATTTCTTACGATTTAAACGTGCCACAGGCTCAAATTAGCATCTTAAATGATCACATCAAACAGGGAACGCTGTGCATGGCTGTGATTTCTAGTCTCAGGGCAGTAATTAAGGCATTTAAGGTGACAGGAAGAGTTAAAAGCAGCCTGGAAGCATCTGAACAGAGTGGGCGGTTTGATCTTCCTGCATGAATGACAGCACGCTGAAGGCAAGATGCTGTCTATTCCTCACAGACGAGCACTGTGACTATGGTGTGTGAAAGTGTGCACAAAAAACAATATTACAGAAGCTATATGAGAAATATAAAAAAGATGCTATCCAGATTATTAAGAAGGTCAAATGTGACCTGATCATAGCAAAGCAGTGATTTTCCAGACAGGGCTGTGTTTTTCAGTTGTTTACCTGCAGTCCAGTGACTGTGAGCAGCGGGTGGCACAATCCTCCAGGCTCAAACCAGGCAACAGCTGCATCCGAGCAGAGTTCCAGGAGGTAGGGACCAGCTCCCTACCCTCAGAGCGCTGGAAGTCATTCAGAGGGCTCCGGTGGCCTGTTCATGTACAACAAAACCACTAATTTATTGCTTACATGCTGGCTGAGGGGACCATTTCTCTGTCTCGTCAGTTCTGGTCTAAACAGAGCACAGATTAGTGGTACCACCTGCAACTTTTGGGCATGAGCCATGTAACCTTTGGACCAGGACTCTGCTGCTGTTTTGTGACAGAAGAGGACCTTCAAATATCAACATATTATTCTTAAACAGAGTCTTACACTTTCATTAAATAATAGAACACAATGGTACTCCGAATAAATTGAAAATGTATGTCTTATTTTATTATTTAAATCAAAATATCAAAGGTTGTAGCCATTTTCTACACGATTAAGCCAGTTCATGTGCTACTAAGTAAACCAAAAAAAAAAAAAAAAAAGAAGTATTTTAGAGCACATTTAAATCACTTATGAACAATTTCAGGGTCTTACCAGTGGCCAGTCCAGCAGCCAGAAGAATAAAGAGCAGAATCAGTTTCATTGTTGGTTCCAGTGGAAGAAAAGTCTCTTGTTCAAGAGTTGACTGAAGTTTGAGTTGTGTTGGGTCTGTGCTCTGATGGATTTCTTCTATGAGACGTTAAATATCCAACATTAAACTGAGCAGAAGAATAAAACAAAAAGTTCAGCACGGTGTTAGAAACCCTTTGGGAAAGTCAGAAAACACGAGACTCGGAGTAAAGCAGAAGCTCCAGTCCACACAGAGGTTTTAATCAGCCCAAACAGCCAATCAATACACTGATCAATCATTAATGGGGGTCATCAGAGGGTGCAGTTCTCTCAACAGACGCTAGGGGGCAGTAGTCAAACTTCCAGACGGTTTCGTTTTTCCGGGAGTTAAAGTGAAACTTCTTCACTCTTCTTTATTTCACTCTTAATCATCACTGGACAAGTTCAGGTAAGAAAAACAGACTATTGTTATTATTTAATCACCATGTTTGGGTCAAAATGTGCAGAAGTTTGAATCAGGAAGTCGATCTGCAGCAAATGAAATGATCTGGACTTTGATCAGACTGAGACAAACTTTAAGGTGGGTGAACTTCCAGAGGAGACAACCGACAGAAACTTTGTGCACAAGAGGCGCAGATGTTGTCAAAGGAACTGGGTTAACCCCGGATTATAAACTCTAGATGCACATCTGCTGGTTACTTTGAGTTTTTTTAATCTGTTCAGTTCATGAGATATTTTGCTAACAGACACAAAACTTACAATCAGTGGTGTTAAAAATTACAATATATAAACAAACAAACAAACAAAAAATCTGCTCAAAACTTACTAAATGTAGAAAGTTACCAGGAAACCACAAAATGGTCATTTCAAAAATTACAAAGCTGCTTTGAGAGTTTATAAAATGATCAAACTGTTCTCACGAGTAGTTTAACTTTAATTGTGTGAATGTTTATGAAGCATTCACTATTATGATCCATTTGTCGTTTTTTTCAGCATCTTTCTCGTTCCACAGTTTTTGTACTATTTTAACAAATCATATATCAAAACATTCAGCTCTTTAAGGACAATCCTGCTGTGACTTTTGGTATTGGTGCGCAACTTTAGCTTTTTGAAATATTTAGCCTTTTCTGACACTTTTCTGTCAGAAAATGAATTGAGCTCATTTTACATCCTTCACATCTTTAGATGTGTTTACAACCTTTTACTGCTCTTTTCACATTTTGTTCTGGTTCAGCCTTTTTCAGATTCCTTGTGCAAGTTCACGCTTTTTTTCAGCTGTTTTCTGCTCGTTTCAGATTCTTTCTGCTAACTACAACATTTTTGTGCTTGTTTTAACTTTTTTCCTGGTAATTTCAACTTGTTATGCCCCTTTCAGCTTATTTCTCAGCTTTTTCTGACATTTCAGCTACTATTTAGTGTTTTTTATGCTAATTTTAGCTTTTCAGCTAATTCCATATTTTTGCACCTTTTTCAGCCGAATTTAGCAAAAATGTGCTCTCTCTACTTCCTTCTGGGAACTTAAGCTTATTTCTGCCTTTTTTTTTTTTAGCTAATTTTCAGCAGTTTTTGCGAATTTCACCTTTTTTTCAGATTACTTCTTTCAGCTTTTTGTTTTAGTTTTAGCTTTTTCTGCTCTTTCAGCAACTATTTCAGAGTCAGAGAGTCAGAGATTCTTTATTGTCATTCGCACTCATGTGGTACATGTGGTGGAGCGAAATTATGTACACAGGGTCCCAGTTACATCCAACAATAAAATGTATAAGAAAAACAGTAATAACATTTAAGATATGAACTAAGAAAAACATCAACTAAATATACACTAAGCACTCATAACATAAAACATTGAACATCAGCACAAACATGAACATGAGTCTGTGAGCAGATGTGCACGCATGAACACATCAACATTGAAACAGATCAGCAGCAACATGAAACAGATCAGCAGCAACATGATGTGATTTTTCACAGTGATTATTCTAGTTAGAGATTCATGAGTCTAACAGCCTCATGGTAGAAGCTGTTTAGCTCCTTTGATGCTAATTTTAGCTTTTTCAGCTAATTCAATATATGTTTTTAGCTCATTTCAGCTCTTTCTTCGTCCTTCTGGTAGTTTAAGCCTTTTTTTTTTTGCTTTTCAGCTATCCCTTTCAGCTATTTTTTTGCTAATTTCAGCTTTTTAAAGCTAATTTCCTATTTTCTGTATTCATTTCTGCTCATTTAAACTTAATTCAGCAAAATACGCATTTTTTCTGCTTTATTCTGCTAATTCAGGCTTGTTCTTCCATTTCAGCTACATTTCAGCATTTTTTTTTATAGCAAATTTCAGCTGTTTTTCAGCAAGTTCTTCTGCAACAAGCATTCACACTGCGTTTTCACAGGAAATGCGATTTCTCTAGTTATTATTTTTCAGATAAAACATCTGGATCTTCTCTTTAGGATGTTATCTGTGAAGATGACGGAGGGGAGCGTACAGCTGGAGACCTGCAAAGAGCCACTTTTCTACAGACAAAGCGAGCCTGCCACAGGAGATGCAAAGATGTCAGTTCTTCTCCTTCATGGCATTCGTTTCTCATCAGAAAACTGGCTCGACATCGGCACTCTGGAGTCTCTGGCCAAAGCCGGCTGCCGTGCGGTCGCCCTGGACCTGCCAGGTGAGTCTGCTGTGAACAAACGGCTCTACCTCACACACAGGTGTGCACGAGCACATCCTAAAAGGCCTTCTAGTGATTTTTTTCAAATAAGACTTGGTCAGAAAATCCAAATTGCTTTGTAGGATTCTTAACAGTGTGCGAGTTTTCTCACCTTTGTGCTTTTTCTGTATAAAGACAGTAAATTTGACAAAGTACAAAAGTAATAAAAAAAAGTGTATGAGTCAGTTTTATTGATGGTTGTGTTAAAAAAAAATGCTGAAACTCGAATTCCTAACAAAACTGGAAAACAAGTTTCAGCGTTAGATACCATATCTGTTTTAAAGACAATCGAGGAATTTAACATTCCTTAAAGAAATGCACGTCACCCGCTGCACGCTTCAGTTTTAAATCTTATGTTGAGAAGGAACGGCGTTATAATGTTTTCATCAAACCTTAAAAATCAAGTTACACAAGAACTCCTGCTCAGATTATGTGTTGAATCAGTCTCAGCTACTACCAGACCACATTTGACCTCATTATGTCAAATTTGCGGTGATAGCCACCTTGAACTGGGTTTGCTCCAACAGTTGTAGCTGTACATCTAATAATTACTTTGGGAAAGCTTCATGAAAAGTTGCCCTTAGATTCATGACACAAACTAAATAATTAGTTTGAATTCAGTTTTTCTTCAGCCAGAGACATTAGAAAAGACTGTTAACAGTTCTGATTCGACGATGATGAATCTGCAAAGCGGCTGTCAAAAATACGAGTCAATCAGGAAGTCTTCGCTCAGCATCACCTCTCTGGGACTCTGACCCGTCCTGCCGCAGGAAGGTCAGGTTAAAGGTTTTCTGTTTCTTATCTGTGTGACACATTCTGCAGTCAATCGAAGAACAAGACAAGGTTCAGAATAACTTGTGTTATTTTGTTAGAAGTAGCTGATTTTTCCTGAAACTCTCTCAAGAAAACTCCCTTTGAGTCACCATGACGACAAATTAATCCCTTCTTTATCCATCTGTCCACAGGACTCGGTCGGTCCAAGTCTGCCCAGGCGCCTGCAGCGGTGGGGGAACTGGCCCCCGCAGGTTTTCTGAAGGAGGTGTGTGAGCAGCTGGCCTTGACTCCAGTAGTGGTGATCAGCCCGTCACTCAGTGGGATGTATTCCCTCCCTTTCCTGACGCAACATCCGTCTCTGCTACGAGGATACGTCCCCGTCGCCCCCATCTGCACTGAGAAATTCACAGCAGAGCAGTACCAGAGGGTAAAGGTGTGTCACCATTTCTGCAGCCTCTTGAACCAGAACTGCAACAATGAACCTAAACTGTTCTTTATCTTCACGTGTTTCTAGGTTCCAACGCTGATCGTTTATGGGGACCAGGACGCTCAGCTTGGGGAGGTGTCGCTCCGTAACCTGAGCAATCTATCTAACCACAAAGTGGTGGTGATGAAGGGAGCGGGCCACCCCTGCTACCTGGACGACCCCGACACCTGGCACAAAGCGCTTGCAGACTTCCTGAGCTCGCTGGGAAAGAGTTGAGAGATTCCCAACACACGCAGGACTAGGAAGACGCTTCAACAAACAGAAACTTAGAATAGAAAAAAATGTGAAATTGAAGCCACAAAGTGCACAAAATGATTGACAGCTCGATGCCTACAAATCAAACTGGATTCATCACAGCAGAGGTTTTTATTAGTCTTTAAAGGTTTTGGGGAATATTTGCTTACTTTCCAAAAGTTGTCTAAAATTACAATTTTGTTGATTCATCAGCTATCAGCCTGTGTGGGAACATGGATCTGCAAAAAGTCCAACCTCTGCATGAGCAAACTGTAGTTTTACACAACACAGCCCTGCAGCTACTGCCACCTTGTGGCGTCTTTTAGTCTCTGCAGAAAGCTTTTAACCGCAGGAGATAAAGACACTGTGGTTTAACTCTTAACACCCCAAACAGCAGCATCCCTAAAGATGTTAAATGAAAATCCAGAGTTGTATTTATATAATTTAAATTATAGTCGAGTCTCTGCTAATAACTAGTAGACAAACTGTAAAAAGACACGGTTCTAACAACTATAGGGTTCATGTTAACGTTAAACCCTCACTGCTTCTTCTAACTTGCATCATATTTGCATATTTTGGGGGGTTTGGCTCACAGAGACTGCAGAAAAGACCAAACTAGAAGCTTAAATGTGCAAGAATTGACGCAGTTAAGCGTTTCATAATCAACATTTCTCAGGATATCCTACCTAATGTGTCTCTTAAAGCATAAACCCTGAGAAATGAACTGAAAAACACCCTTAAAGATCTGAAGTATGTGTCCTGTGCCATCAAACTGGGATCTACTTTATATTAATTTGATGAATTTAATTTTTTTTGGATGATTGGATTATTGATGCATGCTATTTTATTCCTCATAAAGATAAATGCAGTAAGTAGACATTAGGCATTTCTTGCACTCTGACTCATCTACTGGGGTTGGTTGGTTTATAAGGAACAGCTGATTTAAATATTAAAATGAATTCTGAGTGTTCAGTTTCTATAAACTTTCCATCTTCAATCCACAATAAACAAAACAAACCACACACAAGTGAGTTGAAGTGAAAAATATGAACATTATTTAATAACTGATTCTCTGTAATAAACAATTTGAAAATATTTTACAAGGAGTCACAGACACAATATTTTACAAATTTTGCCCTCTTCTTTTTTTTTCTTTTCTTCTTCTTTTAGCTTCATCTGTACAAAAGAATGGAGCGACATGGACCAGTGCCCAAAAGAAAAAAAAAAAAAAAAAAGGGCTAAATCTTCCACGCAAACAAACATTCACACCCACACAGAAGTTAACCCAAAAAATAAATAAAATAAAAAATACATTTCTCAAACTTATCAGCAGCGCTGTATTCCTAGATATTTTTTCTTCTTCTGCACGGAGTTTGACAGGTTAATTTTATTTTTTCTCTAAACTTTTTCTTTTTAATCCAACACACTTGTCAAACATGGTCACATAGCACCAGACTACAGACTACAGAATCACACGTCTTTCCCACAGAGACGCACCAACACAGAGGCAGCGAGGGTCAGAAGAGGAGGGGGGCGCTTCATTAAAACCCCGATGACCCCTCCCTCTTATCCCCAAGCTGGTCCAATTCTTTTTTTATTTTTTATTTCGTTTTTGGCAAAAAGTAAATCTGTCAAAGCAGAGAGCGTACGCTTCGTCCGTGACGTTCACAGGCTGCTCTGTGGAGACCCACTCCCTGAGCTTGCCTCTAAAATCCCACCTGCTCACAGAAAAAAACCCGGGGGGGTGATGCCCCTCGCCTTACTTCCGCTCAGAGTTCGAAATCTACCCAGCTGGGCATAAATAAGTGCCATTACATGTCTTCCTGCAGGTGCACAAATTGCAGCTTTATATATTTTTAGTGAGAAAATGAACAGATCCAGGGAAAAAAGAGGAAGTTGCAGGGAGTCGCATTTCCACAGGCACATGTAGCGTTCATTTACAGACAGTGGGAATGAAGAAATACAGACTTAAAAAAATAAATAATAATAATAATGGCACCGAACAGACGGACAAATTATAGAAAAGTGAAACTGCATCAGCAGATGCTGCAAAGGGCCAAATTTGAAATCCTAAATTTAACAGTCTCTCTTTAACACTTCGTTTCCTCTGCCTCGTTCAGACCTGAGCTGCAGTGCCAGCACGTTTCTGTCACTTCCACCACTGTACAGTGTGTGTAGTTACGGTTCGAATTGTTTTGCGCGAGTCATTTCCACCTGAGCTGTACAGTGGGTTTTTGAGTGGGTGTGAACACCAAAAGGTCAGAGGCTTTTAAAACGGGAAGAACTCCCACCTCACTCAGAAGCATTTAATCAAACAGGCATCAATCAATGCTGGGCTCAGAAAGAGGGAGAAAGAAACAAAAAACAACTGGAGCTCACTACTTTCACCGCATAACACCATGAAAAGCCAGAAAAGGGGATGTTTCGGGTGAAAAACGGGTGAGGGGGTACATGTGGGGGGAATCAGAGCTCCCGTCGAGTAACACTAAGGCATTTAAAGAGGCTCTGATAACTACTGGAACAGAAAACACTGACACATTCTTTCACCTTTTCTCCTCTGTTTCAACACAAGTAGACTCATATACTGGTGGATCTTTTTGTTTTAAGTCACATCCCTTTTTTCTCCACAGCAACAAGCCCACTCTTTGTAAATGACGTTTTCTCAGAGGGCTTTTTAACACATTCACACGTAAACACGTACAAACCAGGCAGAACAATAGCAGTCCGGTGGCCCTAGAAACCAAACAAAACACTCTATGGCCTGTTAAGTTGCTGTATATTAATAGTGTTTCGTAGCTCTATACATGGTTTCATAGAGGAACGGTATAGTAGCTCCAGCAGACAGGAGGCTCTGGAGGAGAACAGCAACAACAGCCGAGAGGGCAAAATACATTAATACTGAGAGCCGATTAATGCGATGGCTCGTGTAAAGCTATTTTAGTCTCCTGTAGCATCCGAAGCCTCGAACATGGCTGCTTTGTTACTATACAGTAGCTCTACCATTACACAGCTGATGTGTACTAAAACAAAGTGCGTCAAGGCACTATGAGACAGAGTGGCTCCTGAAAATGGGAGTTGAAAATCAAACTTTTCACAAGTTGAAAAAAATAAATGACGAACTGTGACCAATTACGAACAGACGACTACGGTACGTGATCATATTTAGTGGCCCCCTTTGCGCTGTAGCTGAAAATGTTGATAAGCCCCCTATCCCCCAGCAGCGGATGGTTTTTGGAGTTTAAACAGCAACAGTCAAAAGGTAAGAAAATACCACAGAGTATTAGGGCCACGCTAAGAAAAAAAAAATCAATTACATTACGAGAATAAAGTCGTATGAGAATCATAATATTGAGAAGAAAGTTGTAATATTAAAATAATAAAGGCATAATATTACGAGAATGAATTCATATGAGAATGAAGTCATAATATGAGAATAAAGTAGTATTGCGAGAATAAAGTCAATATTACAATAATAGTCTAAATAATAGAACAAAGCCGTAATATGAAAATAAAGTCAAAATAATAGAATAAAGTCATAATATTACGAGAATAAAGTCGTACAAGAATAAAGTCGAAATATTATGAGAATAGTCTTTACGAAAATAAAGTCATACAAGAATAAAGTCATATTACAAGAATAAAGTCATACAAGAATAAAGTCATAATATTACAAGCATAAAGTCATACAAAAATAAAGTTGCACGAGAATAAAGTCGTACGAGAATAAAGTTGAAATATGAGAATAAAGTCATACAAGAATAAAGTCAAAATAATAGGAAAATAAAGTCATAATATTACAAGAATAAAGTCATAATATTACAAGAATAAAGTCATACAAGAATAAAGTCGCACAAGAATAAAGTCGTACGAGAATAAAGTTGAAATATTATGAGAATAAAGTCATACA